TTACGTTTAGATATCGTAAGCTTCAGGCTTAGTAACAGAGGGTGGGGGAATGTGCTTGCTCGTCAACTGTTCGAACTCGCAGTCTTCTCTGAAAAATAAGACGGAGATAGATAGACATATTTTGTGCTCTGTCTTGCTCGGAACAGATTATTCTGAAATTTGTAAATTTCTTGGTACCCTAAGGCTCCCTTTTTGTAGTGCATCCCTGAAAATTATCATTTTTCGAACGATTTCCCTGTTACCTACTCAATTTCAGTTGACGTCAAGCTTCGGCCTTTTGCCGCACAACACGAGGGCGTAAAGTCAACTCCGGGAAACTTTCTGACTTCAGCCCAGCCTTAATGAAGCCGAGTATATATCAGCTTTACGGACTTTGTAAGAGTGATAAAATTGAGTGTCATTGTCTTTAATGAATGATTCATTTTACAATTAAGATTTTACTTTTGTTTTATCAATATAAGTAAACTAAAAGTTAAAGTACTTATTTGTAACATCAAAAATCACCTAATGTGAATTAAAGTAAAATCTGTGTAATTATAAATATTCAAGAACTCATATGAATTTAGATAAAAAGTTTCAGATACTTTAGCTTCATGATTAATAGAAATACCCAGAAAAAGGGAGAAATAAAGAGTATAATATATTTGTGAACATAAATATAAAAGATGTAAGTGATCGATAGAATAGGTTAGAATTCGTTATCTCAATTTAAGATAAATATAAAACACACATACGTGTTTAAATTGATCATTCTTGAGAAGTTTCATACCTTATGATAGTAAATATGCATAAATATTCCTATAGTTGAAACATTTTTACTATTTTTTTTCGTTTCAATAGTTTGTTTTCCGAAATTTGTGTAAAATTGTAAGCTATTTTTCACTTTATATATGCAATTTCAATTTAAATTATTATCAACTAAATTGAGCAAGTTCTTGAAATTTGAAATAATTAATTAATATAGTATACGTTTTAATTATTCTCATTTTTATAAACAATTTTTTTTTTTTTAATTTATGGAATTGAATATTCAACTTGGAATTTCTATGTTTTACTTCTGGTGAATGTATCAAATTTTCATTCATTTATATTATAATTATTATATTGTCTTATTGTTGTTTTTAATTTGCAATCACTAGTTACTCATTATTCTCTAGGTTATTCCGAAAGAAAATTCCGTGGGATGTAAAATTGAATTAAATACTCAATTAAATATCAAATACAAATACATAGTAAGCTAAAATAAAATTAGTATTTAAAAAAAACTATTTATGGATCTGCTATGAATATGGTAATTTCTACTTTTAAAAATTTTGAAAACGTTGAATAATTTCTATTTTTTGTTGAGCATGTTTTGTCATTTTCATATTAGTAATGTCGTATTTAAATAGAATACAGATGTTAAAATATTGCTCTTTATATTAAAAAAGAAAACACACTGATATGACAATTTTTAGAAAAATTTTCTAGAATCATTAAAGAGCATTATCCAAAATTTGTGTTTACATGGGCAATCTGTATAAGTTGTAATTGTGATTCTGTAATATTTTCAGGACACTTTGACACAAAAACGTTTCTTACACAGAAACAACGATTTGGAAACACTGGAACCACCTATAAAGAAAATTACTCTAGAATTCATTGACATGTTTTGTTGGGGAAGTACAGCTCATGGAGAATTAAGTTTAGGTGGTATTGAGGAAGAGTCCATTCTTGTACCTCGTGAAGTTGACTTTCAAAAAGCAACAAAAATCAAAGAAATTGCGTGTGGAAATAATTATACTATAGTTATAACTGAAGATGGTGAAATTTTTTCTTGTGGGAATAATGATTATGGACAATTAGGTCATGACAAACCTCGGAAAAAATTACAACTAATATTAGGACTCGAAGCTTTTGTCTTCAGAAAAGCTGCTTGTGGTGCTTGTCATACATTAGCTGTGAATGAATGGGGACAATTATTCAGTTGGGGTTGTAATTCTGATGGCCAATTAGGTATTTATTATGCTTTTTCATAATAATAAGCTAATTTTTGCAATTAATTCGAATGATTAATTTTTTTTTTATCATAAAATATCAATAATTAGATGTTATAAAGACATCAATCTACAAATTTTATATTTTTATGCTGATTGGCTGTTTAATTTATAAGTGAAAATGTCAACTTTTTTCACAAAGACAATTCCAAATCGTGCTATTGATATCTAATGATTTAACAAACGTTGGTTATGAATATTTTAGGATTAAACTCATACGTACAAATAGAAACAACGCCAAAAATGGTTAAAGCTCTTGGTACAAATGTAGTGATTCAAGTAGCTTGTGGATATAAGCATGCCATAGCACTCACAAATAATGGAGAACTGTATGCATGGGGCTCTAATGATGAAGGCCAGTTGGGAATTGGTCCAGAAGTAAAAGCTGAACTAAAACCAAAATTAGTTTCTAGTCTTGCAGCTATGCCTATTGCATTTATTGCTTGTGGAGGATCTCATACGATTGTTGTATCCAAGTCAGGTAAATATCGGTAAAATCAATTATTACTGTGTTATTTGTAATTGGCTTTCGTCATATCTGTTAAAAAATTTATTTTATAACTTTGCTTCGTAAAATTTAACTTGATCATGTAATATCACTACGTTCGTAAAACAAGCATCCTAAGTTTTTAATTTTAAAAACATGTATTGCTATTCTATCATATTTTGTTTAAGTGATTACATTCAAAAAATTTATTTCAAAACTTTTATATAAATCATAATTGTAATTGTGAAATATATTGACAGGAGCAATTTATGTATGGGGTAAAAATACATTTGGCCAATTAGGAATTAATAGTACGCAAAATCTTAGTTATCCTTTTCAACTAAGAACACTAAGAAATTCTAAAGTACGGCATGTTTCCTGTGGTGAAGATTTTTCAGCCTTTCTTACAGCGGTAACTGTTAATAATTCACTATTTTATTAAAATATATTTCCTGGCTATTGATATAAAATAATTATATTTTTTTTTGTTAAATATATTTTTCAAATGCCAATAATAATACTTGTCAATAGTTGAAATTCTTAGGTAATAATGGAATGTAATAAATGATGTAATTTAAAAAATAGGATGGCGGTGTATTTACATGTGGTGCAGGTATGTATGGACAACTTGGTCACGGAACCACAAGTAACGAAATACTTCCACGTCAAATCATCGAACTAATGGGGAGTGTAGTAACGCAAATTTCTTGTGGAAAGCGACATATGCTAGCGTTAATACCTTCAAGAGGTCGAGTGTATGCTTGGGGATTAGGTGGAGCTGGCCAGTTAGGAATTCGAGTCGTACGAACTGTTGCTACTCCTCAAGTTGTTCTGGGACCATGGGTATCACCAAATGGAACATCAATATATCAAAGCGATATCCCTCCTAGTGAGCATGGTAAAAATGGTGTAGTTAAGCATATTTTTACTGGCGGTGATCATTGTTTTGCCACTGTTACTAAACGAGAGGTAAAAATGCAATTTACTTAATTAATGAAAAATAATGAATTATTTGAATAATTATGTCTTCATCATGTTATTTAGAACAATATTCCTCCAGATGATTGTAGAGTATTTGAACCATCATCTCAAATATTAGCAGTGACCGAAGAACAACTATTGGTTTGCCAAAAAATACCAATGGGTGTTTCATTAGATCATGATTTAATGATGTAAGTGTAATAGTATATTTCACACCTAGGAAGGAAAAGTAGACTAGCTTAAACCACGTGTAAAATTACAACCCAAGCTGAAGACATAATTGTCTTCCCTAGAGCTGAATATGATTTTTCGTCATACCTGTGTGGAAGGTTCAACTCCTCTCCGAATGGAAAAGTGAACTTTTCGCGCGGGTATGACGAAAAATTAATTTCAAATCCGTAAGAAATAATTTCTTATTATAATTTTCCTTAATAGGTACTTAGAAACAGTTTTTCGCAGCCAGGCATGCGTTAATGCATCATTTTTACTATCAAATGATGCCCATTATGGTTGCTCAAGTAAACATTCTGGTGTTGACGGTGAATTAGCATCTCGGCTTTTTGGAATTATTTCAGATTTACACAACAATACAATTCAAGAATTAGTAAGTTATTAGGTTGTAATTTTTATTTAATTTGATATCATCAATATAATCAATTAATAAATTATTTCCCTCTTTAGATTTTTACTTCTATCACAGAAGGACTATTGCCAACGCTTACTTTATCACCACCAGATATAGAAACTTTGCGAGTTTATATTACTCTTCCATTATATCACGAATTCATCGATCCAAGAAATTGTGAAAAACTTCAATATCCATTTGCAAAAGCTTTAAATAATTTAAAACCTGAAGCCAAAAAAGTTGTCGGGATTTGGTTGAATCGATCACCAGTTCAAATATTTTATCGGCTAATTAGATCGTATAAAGCTGTCGTGTTATTTATTATGAAGAATACTAAGAATATCGATAATATGGTAAATATTATATTCTAATATATATTTAATAACAATATTAGTCTGTATATTTCATCCATGGGGAGAAAAGAAACTAGTTCAATGCAAGTATAAAATGATCACCTGTGCCGAATGCTAATTTTCCTCCCTAGGACTGAACATAATTTTTCGTTATACCCGTGCGGAAAATTCGACCTCTCAATTAGAAAAGTGAAGTTTACGCACGGATATGACGAAATAGTAATATATTTTAATTTTATTATTACAAAAGTACTAATGCATATAATAAAATGTTAACAGCGATTCCTAACAAATTCAAATCTAGAACAAAGCTTAGAACTCTTAAAATACATCAACAAGCTAAACCAAACTGATGACGGTTTACGAGTACCTTATGAAATTTTTCATTTATCTGAGTTAACATCAATAATAAATATTCGAGGAGATTATGTAAAATGGTTGCGTAATTCAGATGCTAGTAGTGTTGGAGTTGCATTAATTTGTAATTATCCATTTATTTTTGATGCTCAAGCAAAGCTACAACTACTTGAAACTGATCAAGCTATTCAAATGCATTCAGCAATGAACGAAGCCGCAACAATAGCAATAACAAATGTAATGTTTAATCCATTTTTACGTAATGGAAATCATCAAGCATCACAATTTTTGATATTGACTGTTTCTAGAGAAAATATTGTTACCGATACATTAAGAGAATTATCTGAATATGACTCTAATGATTTAAAAAAACCATTAAGAGTGAAATTTCATGGAGAAGAAGCAGAAGATGCTGGAGGAGTTCAGAAAGAATTCTTCCTTTTATTATTAAAAGAAATACTTGATCCTAAATACGGAATGTTCAAACAATATGAAGAAACTCATAATATTTGGTTTAGTGAAGATTCTTTTGAAGACGAGATGATGTATTTTCTTATTGGAGTTTTATGTGGATTAGTGATTTATAATTTTATAATAATCAATTTGCCATTTCCATTAGCATTATATAAAAAATTGTTACATGAGCCAATAAGCTTAAATGACTTGAAAGATTTATCACCAGTTACTGCAAAAAGTTTACAAAGTTTATTAGATTATAATGGAAATGATTGTGAAGAAGTTTTTGGATTAAATTTTGAAGTAACTCGACAAGTATTCGGAGAACAACGAGTTTATGAATTGATTCCTGGTGGTAGTAAAATTCCTGTTACTTTAGACAACAAAAAGGAATTTGTTAATTTATACGTTGATTATATATTTAATAAATCTGTTGAGTCACATTTTAATGCATTTTATAAGGGATTCCATAAAGTATGTGGAGGAAGAATATTAAAACTATTTCATAGTCACGAATTGATGGCCGTTGTTGTAGGTCATGAAAATTATGATTGGAAAGAGCTAGAAGAAAATGCTGCGTACAAAGAAGGATATCATAAAGATGATCCTACAATCGTGTTATTTTGGAAGATATTCCATGAACTTTCATTGGATGAAAAAAAGAAATTTTTATTATTTCTAACTGGAAGCGATCGAATACCTATTCAAGGAATGAAAGCTATCAAGGTAAACATTGTATTTATCTAGAAAAAATTATTTTGAATAAATTATTTTAACAACCAATTCACGTTTATAGATCACAATACAGCCAATGTCAGATGAAAAGTTTTTGCCTGTTGCTCATACTTGCTTTAATTTATTGGATTTACCTCGTTACAAAACAAAAGAAAAATTAAAATATAAGTTATTACAAGCTATACAACAAACTCAAGGATTTTCATTAGTGTAAATATAATCAACTCACAGATAATGAAATAAAGGAGAAAATTATTTTGCTAAAATGATGTTCTTTTTAATTTTGAATTATTTTTAATTAAAATTTTTTTTAATTTTTAAGACATTAATTATATTAATTCCTGGTAGCTAATACTTTATTTGATATTATTAACTTGTAATAGTAAAAATAACAGATAAATAAAATAACTTACTTCTATACACTTACGAAACTTAATCTAATTACTATACAAAGTTTTATAATCTTATTTATTTATTTATTATTATTGTTGTCTATTACTAAAGAACACTTATTGATTGTAGCATGTGCCTTTGTTATTGCAGTAATGTATTTTAAAAATGAAAGAGAGTATGTGTATTTATGCCGATTACTTGTAAGTAATATATTGTAAATGATATGTTAATATTTAAACATGATAAATAAAATTTATAAATTCGAATATTACATATATATATATAGTTAAATTAGTTTTTATGAAATAATTCAAACTATCCAATATGCATAAAATATTTATTTATTCAAAATAGCAGTACTTTTAACAACTAATAAATTTGATAATAATTTAATTTATTTTATTTATCAATAATCAAGTAAAAAAATACATTTATTCTTGATAATTGTTTAAATTAAATAATGTGAATTAAAACATAGCCATTTTTATGATTAAATTGAATTTTTTGTTCGAATAAAATTAAAAAAAAAAGTTATTCAATAACTGAGCATATTAATGAATGAAAATTTATTAATATTTTTCTGTCATTAAATGTATATAATGATCTATTTTAGTTATGCCGGATATTTCGTTATTTCGTTTATTCGTTTAATTTATTTTCTTTCGTAGTTATATTAATCACTGAATTTCATATAAACGATCGATAAATTAATGATACAAAGTTTTACATTTTAAAATAAATTTTTCAATAAAAAATTATAATTGTAGCTGATCGAAAATAAAATTAACGTTGATATGATGGAGTAAAATATTGAGTTCCAGGTGGTGCTCTATAACCAGGATAAGAACTATTAAGCGCATGTTGAGCGAAAAATCCACTGTAATCCTTATGAACTCGTCGTGGTCGGAAAGTAGGTCCTTTTGCCAATTCCATTCTTGCACGATTTTCTGCCTCAGTTTGTTGTTTTACTGACTCTGGAGGCCATTTCATATCTCCTCGCATGACTCCACTTGTTGGTGCCATTGTAGCAGCAGGTTGAGCTTGATAAACTGGCGCGGGTTGCTGAAAAAATGTTTTTGTTAATTCAGTATTATTTTTAGTTATTCAAGGATTTTTATTAATATTTTAAGTTTTCTCTCGTCAAGTTTCCTTGACAGTTTTAAACTTGAAATCACTGCAAATTTATAAATAAATTTTTGTATTTCCAGCTTAACATTTTGATAAAATGCCAAACTTTAATATTTACAATGAATTTGTAACAAATCTTTATTTATATTTATGATAATGATAATGATGATGTTAAAATATTGTTACCTGATTTATTGGTGCTTGTGATCTAAGAGTTATAGTTGTTGGTGGAGGTTCAAAATGACTTTGAGGATAATAATTTGACGATGATCGTTGCTAAAAAATGACCATGGAAATGTTTAGTAAATACATGATAATATTTTTACTGAGTATTAGAAAGCATAATAATATTTGAGAAATTGTAAAGATTATTAATTACAAATTTGTAATTAATAAAGGTTTATATTAATATAAACCTTTACCTCCCTTTTAAGTAATAAAGAATTTTTATGTTTAGAGTCAATGATTTACCTGTAAATTTAATTGTTGTTCTGAAGGAGGTAAAGGTGAAGTTGAAGGAGATGGTGTGATAGGAGCCCAAGATTTAGAACTTGATTGTTGTTGGAAATGCTTGGGTTGTCTCAACGTTCCACCGGGACTAATCGGTTGTGGTGATGGTCCCAATGAAGAATTACTGCTTTGATATGAAACGAAGTCGCCAATCCCTCGAGTCTTTTAAAAAGTATACCACATTATAAAAGACAATTTTTTTATTCGTTTCATTTTTTTCGTTGAGCATTTCCGGCTTTAATGTGATAGCCGTTGTGGGGAACCACAATAGCTGGATAGTCACAATCATTGGATCAACCACAAGCTTCAACTACTAAATTTTTAAATTATGAATAAAATTAAAATTTACCTTTGCTTGAACTGGACTTTGTTCAATGTAATCAACTTCGTCGTGATCTTCAGGAGGAGGTGGCCAAGTCACTCTTTTTGAACCTGAATTCAAATTTCAACTATCACAATTTGAAGTTTTAAAAAGTTACAAAATGTTATACTTGGCACATGTTAATTTCAACAAAGTTTGCAGTACACAATATAAAAAAGAAAAAAGGAATAATAAAAAATATTGAAGAATTTTTTAAAATAACATTTATTTTTATTTTCACTAATTAGAAAGAAACAATTTATTATTTAAATAATTCACTATTGAAAAATTATTATGGAAATTAAAATAATTATTCGTGATGAAATTAATCAAATGAATGTACAAAAATGTCGTTTGATAAATGAGAAAAAGATATAATTGGCTAATAATGTAAATCGACCAATTAACCAATTGTTCTATGAAATAAAAAATTATCATCAATAACGTTTGGTGTTAAGTGACCGACTTTGCCAACAACTAATGCTAACCCTAAGTCTAGATCCCAGCTTGTTACCCTGGACTGATGAATAATCATTGTAAAGATTCAGTAGCAAACGATTTTAGAGTTTGCACGGTATGTCGTGCCAAAATAGTGGGGGATTAAAACATTCATATATATTGGAAAATTTATGCATGATGTGATTAAACATTCCCAGGCGATCTCAAAATTAATCATTATCTAATAAAATGTTCATTAAGATATTTTAATAATCATAAAATTTCTAAAATTATCTGCGATTCAATGAAAAATTGGACTACTTATACAAAATGATCAATCTGTAAAATAATTATCAAGACATTGAATTTTTCATGAAGTTGATGATTCTAATTGTTTATAGCTTTTTTCTTCTTTTTATTATTACCTTTCATAGAAGTTATTTGCAACGTACATTGTTGACCATTGTGAATATAAAATAACGACCAATATTTACGAACAGGATTTTTGGATTTTACTATTTGTTGAAATTCTGTTGATGATTTTATAAAAATTTTTTTTCTATCACCTTTGCAGATTGCAGAAGATGCGAAGAAAAAGCAAAAATTTTAGATTATAGTTACCAGGTTGTCCACCGTTTCGAATCCTTGCTTCTTCCTCTTCAAGCATTCGTAGAACTGCACTGTTTTGGAGATTAGCAGGCTTGGCTATCTGATTGAAATCAATTCTATTGAATAATTCAAAATGTTAGTAACAATTCTAATTTCTTTATATAAAAAAGATATAATTAATATTTCGTAATAAAAAACCTTAAATCTTTGACAATCATTTTCTTTTTTAACAAGTTGTCGTGTCCAAAAAACCAATCTTTCTATGAATGCTTTTAATAACGAAGCTAGTATTGAATTAATTAGAACAATGAAGCATACTGTTATTAAAAGTTTCAAGTCAAGTACAGAATGACTTTGATGCAATTTTCGAATGAACCTTGCCGATTTATTTATGCTATAAGTGATTCTCTTAGCTTAAAATAATTCGGTGAATCACTAGCGTGTCGCCAATTAACAATCTCGCGGATACACTTTACGAAGAAAGTCTTTGACGCAAGGTGGTTACATTGCTTTCTTGCCAACAGCTCCATTAATCGTTTATTGATTATTATTGATATTTAAAATAATTTTTTTTTTTTTTTAATTTTATTGAAGCAAACTCAATTTTATAAATAGATTTGATTTTTTTTTCTCGTAAATATTATAAGTCCTTCAAGAAACAGTTTTCTCTCAAAGAAAATTAATGATACGTCAAAAAATTGAAAAGACAAAAAAATTGATTGATATGTATACATTTATTTCTATTGATTGAACAATTGATTTTTGTTATTATTGCTAGTGAAGAAAACTTACCCAACTGCACCATTGGCCAATACTTTAGTCTGTTTTTCCAAAGTTTCCTGAATAGCTTGAGGAGAATACAAATTAATTGGAGAATTAAATTGTTTATTTACAAACTTTGGTCCTTGACCCGTCAGCATTTTCTTTATTTCTGTTTTATATTACTTGTCAATAATTTACCAATAAAATATTCCAGTCACTAAAAAAAAAAAAAATACGAAAATAAGCGTTTGAAAAATTCGATGTTTCTTATTCGATGTCACAAGTGTTTATGGCAACATTCTAGCGTTACGAGTTGATTTTAGCTTCATATTACTGCAGTTATAGTTATACATACATATAGATTATATGTCGACCAAGTATATCTAAGAACGTGGCCTACTGCCTCTCTGGTTATTTTAAAATCAAAATTCCTCCCAATATATCTCCAACATCCAGCGCAAAATTTACTTTCCCCTTGCCCCGGTTTATACTTTTTTTAAATTTGCACTTTCTTTCTTTTCCGGTATAATACACGAATAAAAATTAACTTTACATTCTGATCTATTCAACATTACGTAAAAATAATGACATTGAAAATTCTGATGGTAAAACTAGAATTCGGTAAGTAAGTTTTTCTAAATTTTGTTAAGTTGTCTTCATTTTCATTTTTTACTATAAAATCAGTAAAAATTATCCATTTTTCTTTCGTGTATTATTTTACACTCAATTTAAACTGTTATACTAGTATGTGAAGGATTTAACAGTATTTGTCTAAATGGGACAATCAATCACTTTTTAAAATAAAAAAGACATTCATTGAATGTTTTAATCAAGCGTTGGAGAAGTGAAAAAATTGATGAAAAAAATAAAAATTGGCATTCATTCTATGAAAATAATTGATGAAAGTATGTAGATGAATTAATGTTTTGGTAATGAGTAACAGAAAAAAAATATTAAAAGTTTACATCATAATGTGCAATTATTTATTGGCTGTATTCTACACTATAAAAAGTCTTATTTTTACGGAGAGAAAAGAATTGTAAATTTTCCTCTCAAAAATAGTAGTCTCTCGCTTCGGGTACAAAAATAGCAATAAGCAATTGTTTCATTAGTATACATTACAATTTTTTCTTGTAAAAATTTTATTACACACTCCAATTGTAATATTTCATATTTATTTTTATATAATTTACAATTTTGATTCCCAATAAATTTATACAAGAAAAAATTGTAATGTATACTAATGAAACAATTGCTTATTGCCATTTTTGTACCCGAAACGACAGACTACTTTTGGAGTAAAATTTACAATTCCTTTCTCTCCGTGTTCATTCAATTAAATTGATTCCACAATGTTACGGTTTTAATCAGTGTTATTACTGTCATTATGAAAAGATTGAATGTTATTGGATAAAATTATTAAAAACTTACAGTGAGTTTAATGAAATATCAAGTATGCTAAAGGGAGAGAGAAAAAATTCAACTAATGTGAATTTTGATGTAAAAGCCTGAAAGTTTAAGTTCTTACGTATAAGTTTTCTCCGCCCACTTTAGAGTGGCTACTTATGTTTCCTACTCAAGTTATTTTTGTAATAAGCCAATAAATGTCTTCTTCCTAATTTCAGATAGTTTAAAACAATAGTAATTACTCATTTTTAGATTTCAACAAAATTGTTCAGTCCAAATATATTGAATATTGAATTTAATAAAGATTCTTATTTACAAAAATAAATTTTTAATAAAATAATAGAAGTAAAAAATAATATAAAATACAAGTAAATTCAAATCAACTTTCAACTTCTGCTCAACTCAGAATGTTTCATTATTTATTTATGACTGATAACTGATATCAGTTAAGTTGTTATATAAAGTGTTTGTAAAAATTTAGTCTTAAAAAGTGTTACAAAAATATATTTATTTACTGATAGAGTTATGATTAATTTTAATAATATTTTCGCTTACAGTGTTCTTTTTTTTCTAATAAACAATTTTTATTTTAAACTTAAACTCTCATGTTAAGATACCGATTTTATTGAATCTAACATTTTTTTCAGGATATGGATTAGATTTTGTGTTTTTTTTTACCATCGGACGTTATTTTCCTATCAACCGATTGTATTATTCTGTAAAATGTAGAAAATGTATATATATATTTTTTGTTTATTTCATGTATTTAATTAAATTAACATTTCTTATCAATAACAAATGCTTAATTTTATTAAAAAAAAATAGGATGATTCATTAATAAAGATTTTAAAATAAGATGAAATGAAAAAAATGATAGTTATATTTAAAAATTCCCGCAAAAAAGTGAAAAAATGACTGTTTTTATCGATAACACAAGTAGCGCTGGTGTCGACCATGTTGCCACATTGAAACGAAATCTGCCATTTTCTCGCTTTTGCCACTGTGTTTCTACCAGAAAAAGAGGACGCTGGCGCCATTTTGGGAACGTAAGTGGCTACCCTTGCGTCTGTCCACTACGGCTGCCATTATAGATTCCGTTGTGACCGAGTTGCTGTTACGTTTAGAGTAATTTCTCGTATAATAATTGAGTAAAAGTTACATTATTATTGAAAAAATTCCTAAAAATAGTATCAGTGTCACCTAAACTATCTAAAAAATGAAAACCTATAGTAGAAAAAAGAGTGATAGTCCAAGTAACGTGATAATTCATGTAAATGAGCTGTGCCGACTGTGCTTGGCCAAGGAGGAAGAGATGGTGCCGATTTACGATGATGACGCCGTTCCTATGCCACTTAGAATAATGGCTTGCGTGAATTTGGAGGTAATTAAAATGAATAAAGTTTATCATATATTTACAAAATGACAGTTAGTGGTGTAAAATTTTAACGAAAAATGAATCCATCATTAATATTCGCTGTAATTAATTTAAAAAAAAGGAATCTAGTTTATCGCAATTTGATTTGACCTTCCCCCTTTCTCCCGCATATGAGCAGCTTCTGAGTATGGATATCGACGTTCCAGCTTTCTCTCTTGCCTTTACCTATACATGTAAAAGGCCTGGAAAATAACATGTGTTAATATCATACCATACAACTGATATTAAAGATTGTATGCGTAAATAAAATATATGTTTAAGTAACCGTCTTTACCGAGTTATCGACTTTCCACCAAGCACTGATCGATTTTGATATTTAGATATCTTACAGGAATCTTTAGTTAGAAACATTGATGCAGAAAACATAGGAAATTTTTTCTATTTCTCTGAATGCATATGCATACATTATTTTGATTATTTTATTAATGAGCTTCAAACTGATATCGATTATCTTTATCAATAACAACTTTTAAAATTGTGTTGTTCAAAGTATTTGCAGGCTCTTTTTTACAACATACACTATTAACAATTTTATGCATTGAAATTATTTTTAAATCTTAATTTTTTTTTTCTAGGTTTTTGAGGAAGATGGATTACCTAATATGATATGTCGCCCGTGTAAATACCAACTCGAAAAATCTTATCAATTTAAGAAAAAATGTGAAGCAGCTGATGCTAAATTACGAAACCATTTAAAAATGATTCAAAAATTAAGTGGACACGGTGAAGATTCAGAGAATCAAGAGGGTAATGAAGACTCTGAAGGAACCACTTCCGGAAAATCACGACAAGTAAAACAGCTTTTAGCAGATTTGGTTTCTACAAAAGGTGAAAGTGGTCAAGGTGATGGCGACCCCAATTGAAGTTACAGAAGAAGAATTGGTTGGAGGTTATATTTTAGGAATGTCAGCGGAAAATATGGAAGCTGAAGAAAGCATTCCCGAAGGACCCTCCAACATTACCTTAGTTCCTTCTGAAGAAAAAACTGCAAAAGCTCGTTGCACAATTCGTGCAACAAGAATCAAGCAAGAACATGAATCTGATGATGAAGGAGACGAAGTTCAAAGAGCTATTGCTAATTCTGAAAGAAAAAATGTTTACATGATGGAAGTGACTAGTCATTCATCAGGACAAACAGAATCGATGAAATTACAGCCTATTGAAGAAACAATGGTTGATGGTAATGAAGAATTGAAGGTGTTCAAGTGCGATAAATGTCCAAAAGCATTTACTAGACGAATTATGTTGAAAAGTCATCAATCGGTGCATTCAACACAAAGAGGTTTTACTTGTCAAGCATGCGAAAAGTGGTTCCCAACTCGTTCTGCATTAATTCGTCATGAGAGAACTCATACTGGTAAATATATAAATATATATTTTTTACTTTTTCTCTACAAAAATTGATTTATTTAAAGAATATTAATTTAATCATTTTTTTTTAGGCGAAAAACCATTTGGATGTAACATTTGTCATCGTGCATTTGCTCAAAAAGAAATTCTACTCCGACATTTAATGACACACTCCGGACAAAAACCTTTCCAATGTCAAGACTGTGACAAAAGTTTTACCCAACGAGAAGCTTTGAGAGTTCATATGAGACGTCATCAAAAGCTTGATCCTAATGATATTCAGTTGCATCATTGTCAGTTATGCCCTAAAGCTTTCTGTCATGCGTCTGGTCTTTCAAGGCATTTAGTAACTCACACCGGACGAACTTATAAGTGTGTTGAATGCGAAAAATCATTCACCGATAAAAGTTCTCTGTTAAGACACAGCCGAATTCATGCGCCTAAGAAATTACCATAAAGTTGATTATAAAATAATGCTTATTAAATATATACATACAAATAAATATTAATTTTTTTATGTACATTTCAAGTTTTCAGAGTACTATTAACTATTTATAATCTTATCAAGTATACTATACTTATAACTTATAAACTGAAAATGAAAAAATCAAATTCGTCGTAAAGGACAAATTAATTTTTGTTTTGATTTTAACAGATGACATTAAAATTATTTTATATAGTAAGTGTATATAAATCGAAAAAATGAATATTTTTTTTATTGGAAAAAAGAAAAAATTTTAGTTCAAAATTATTTTAAAAAAATTAGATATATCATAAAATTGATAATTACCTCTAGTATTCAAACAATGTCATTAAGGAATAATTTGTAATCTCATGCAATCAATATGATTTAACTCATATAATATCGTAGAAATTATGATTTTTTTGAAGTACTTTAAATAAAGAAGAACTTGATCATAAATCATTGATGATAAATTTTGTTACATTTAATTTAATAATATTTTCTTTTTCGAGTAAATATTTATAATCATGTAGAATAATGGTATATGACAAGAATAGAGGGAAGCAGAGATTTTTTGAAACTTTTATATTTTATAATCATATGAATGTTTAAATCATTATATAATAACAATTGGTCAAAACTACAGTCAATAGTTATTTATCAATAGACGTTCAATGAATTTCGATAATTAGGATTGATATAATAGCCAACTATTCACTGTTTTGTTTGAAGTAAAAATTTCGTTCACTATTATACTCAATCTTTTTTTAATTTATAAGTTTGTGTATAAATGGGTCTTACTTCATTAATAATAAAAACTAAGTATTAATGATGTTCACTCAATTAACTAATCAATTATTTTACTTTACCCTTATTAGTAAAGTAAACTTCATTTTTATTAAAAAATATTTGTTTTGTATCTAAGTTATCTTGCATGCCTTTACTGCTTTAGTACAATAAAACATATTAACGCAAGGGGAAATAAATCTTAAAATACTTTTTTTTATATTTTAAATATGTTATTAATTTACTGATAAAAAAAAAGTTTCTTGAAAATTTTTCATTTATTTATTAACAGCAAAGATGATTTAAATCGTATTTTTAACAGTCACATCCTCTCCGGAAAATAAAAAACAATGCACTAATGTGCGTATTATTTCATTAATTTTGCAAGAAAACGGTCGATTTTTATATTTTCATTTAATTTACATCAAATGCTACACAATTCACTATGAATATATATACAATCATCACTATTTTTTTATAAGGAAATTGATAAAATAGTGAGTAATAAAGAAATATTGAATTTTCATATAGATCTATTTTTCGTCGTTTAGAAAATATGCTATTTACGTGGAAATCAATAATTTAATGATTTGTTATTTTTTTCATGATTAATGTGAATAATTGTAGAACTTTTGTTTGCAAATAATGAAAGTCAAGGTGACAATTATATCTATATGTATATATTTTTATTCTTATCATTTTTTAATTTCGTGGTTTTTTAGTTGATAGTTTTCTCATCAATCGAGAATTAACTGTTTCGGCTTTTCCCAGGTAAAACAATCTCTACCAAAATGTCCATATGTACTTGTTTGTTGATAAATTGGCTGCCGTAAATTTAATTCCCTGCAATGAAAATGTATAATTTATATAAAAAACAACAAAAACAGTTAACACGATTATCAAAATAAGCTTACTTGACAATTTTTCCAGGTCTCAAGTCAAAATTTTTATTGATAATTCCCAGAAGTTCATTTTGAGATAATTTTGAAGTACCATAGTCAAAAACAGTAATAGAAAGAGGTTCTGCTACTCCAATAGCATATGAAACTTGTACTAAACAACGTCTACATAGTCCAGCTTTTACTAAAGATTTAGCAACCCATCTTGCTGCATAGGCTGCCGATCTGTCAACTTTTGTGAAATCTTTGCCTGAAAAAGCACCACCACCGTGTGCTCCCCAGCCTCCATATGTATCTACAATTATTTTTCTACCAGTTAAGCCAGCATCGCTCTGAAAATGTTTTTCTTTTAGACATTTGTTTATTTCAACAGATTTTTGTCTAGTAAATTATTTTTTGAAGAATTAATACCTGTGGGCCACCAATAATAAAATTACCACAAGGGTTAACATGGAATACAGTTTTCTCGTCGAGATATTTAGCTGGAATAACTTTTCTAATAACGTCTTTCATAATTGCTTCCCGCAATTTATCAAGTGTGATTTTTTCATTATGTTGAACCGAGACTACGACTGTGTGAACACGAACAGGAACACAAGCACCATTCTCCATCATATATTCACAAGTCACCTGATAAATCAATCATAAGTAAATCCATGTAAAACATTATTTGCATTAGATAAAAAACATATGTGATTATTTTCGAAAAAAAAAATTTTTACTTGTGTCTTTGAATCAGGACGTGCCCACCATAATTCACCACTTCGTCGCAGTTCCGCAATTTTTTGATTCAATTTGTGCGCTAAAACGACAGTCAATGGCATACATTCGTCAGTTTCATCAGTTGCATAGCCAAACATCAATCCCTATATTTCAAAATCATAGAATGTTAAAACAATGTCACCCTTATATTTTCCTTACAAATAGATTAAAGATATACATTCTACTCTACTAACATTAAATTCAATACATGATTTTAAAAATTAAACAAAAATACACAAGCATTTTTACTACAAATCAGTATAGGTTTTAAAATACCTCGAGTAATTATTTACGAAGCTGAAATTTAAATTAATGCACTAAATAATATTCATGCATAAATTGGTCGATTCATACTCATGCAAATCCTTTTTGACATAAATTGTATGAGAAAGTATTAAGGTTTATGACGAATAAAATTATAAACTTAATATGAAGTTTAGAAATGATTATTTGATTTATAGTGTCAATAGTTACAACTATATCGCTAAGCCATAAAACTATCATCATTAGTTGCAAAATAAAAGAAAAGTGATTTATACTATTCAAGTAGTGTAATTTACAATAGCATTCGAATACTATAGAATAATGAAAATTTAGTATTTATTTACAAAAGAAAAACAAATATAATGTTTTTTTTGGAAATTTAATTTATAATTGACCTGATCTCCTGCACCAACTTCCTCATCGCTACGATTTACATGAACTCCCGCAGCAATATCTGGCGATTGTGCATCAATTGCCAATAAGACGTTGCAAGTTTTATAGTCAAAACCTGTGAAATAATTTGTTTAACAAAAAACGCAAGAATATAACAACAATTGAAATTAATTATTAATCTACCATTTAAATGTGGTTTTGAATGAAAAAATTTTTTAAGCATTCTTTGATAGTTTTTTATAATTTTAGTTGAATTCCGATGATTTAAATGAAAATGAATGTTAGAAATGAAATTGTATTTATTAGTAAGAAAACATCCCTTTAAAAATTTTTTATCTCATTCAATTATTCATCGCAGGGGGCCCCTAATGCATGAATTTATTAATTGATGAATATTGTAGACTTAATCATTTTAATTTCATTCATACATCAATGATTACTAATAAATAATCTAGAAATCCTTTTTGTGAAACTGTTTTTCTCAATGTTGAAATTTTTGATAAATATTATTATACAGTCTTAAAAAATTTATTTAGTAATTCTTTTGCTCTGTGGCACAGGCTGAGAATGGATTATGTACCTGATCACCGGCACCCAAGTCCTTCTCTTCCCTGTCCACATGAACCCCTTCTGCGATATTCGGTGATTGTTGTTCGATCGCCACCAAAAGGTTCAACGTACGCCAATCAAATCCTGCCACCACCATTGATACTCTTACGTTAATAATGAATTAACTCATTTATAGCGTATCTAGTTTTTAGTCAACTTAAGTTTTTAAGAATTTTTCAAAAATATATTCTATTAAAAATCAATCAATTTTTAGTTACTATTTTTTATCTCTTCAATTTTTGATAACTACTTTTTGAAAATAAAAGTATAAACCGATGTTTGGCAAAAAATTTTAATAATGAATAAATAATTTTAAGTCACTTTCAGTGTGTTTTTTTTTACATCATGGCAATCATGAGTAGCAAATACTTAATCGCATCATTAAGTGACTAATACAAGTTTTTTAACTTGAAATTTTTTTTAATTTATTGTAATAAAATATTGATAAATTTCTTAATAATGATAAAAATAATATTATTTACCTTTCGAAGAATCATCGTAACCAATGTGATTTACAGTGTCTCTTACAATTTTTTGATAGTCAACAACTGCTTTAGATGTGATTTCCCCGCACAATAAAATCATTCCAGTTTTGGTAACAGTCTCTATTTTTAATAAAATTATTGCTTAATAACAAATTCAAAATAGTGAACTTGCTTTTTCGTAATGTAACAAAAATTCACTTACCACAGGCTACTTTGGCATCCGGATCTTGTTCTAAATGTGCATCAAGAATAGCATCACTGATTTGATCACACATTTTATCTAAAATAATTTAAAAACGTATTTATTTTTATAATTTAACAAAGTTCTTTTCAATGACAAATTCAATAATTTTTTCGAATTAATATCATAAAAAAAAATAGATAAAAGTTATTTGTAAAAAAAATGAATGAACTTTTTATCAATGGAAATGTATTGTCGTAATTGATAGTAATAATTTATAAATCATAATTTTTTAGCTGTACAGAAGAAATTTCATAGTAAAGAGGGTGGCCGGAAATCAAGAGCACATGGTGTATGATGCCGGAGGTTGTTCCAAACTGAGTAAAAAAAGTAAATTTCCGAAACATTTTAAAAACCCGCGAAAACAAGCGGCTTCAGTAGAATCGATAATTTATACATAATTAGTTTAAGATTGAGATATAAATAGAAAACTAAGGGATAATGAATTTTTTTTGTTACAAATAAGAGCACGCGCAGAAGTCACGACGCGATGGCGGCACGAGGATAATGGCGTATGGAAAGGGTTTGTAGTATTGAGAGAATCATAATAAAAGAATGAATTAAGAAATATACCAGGATGTCCTTCACCAACAGATTCTGAAGTAAAAGAGAAAAGTCCCATCTTGTTGAAGTTCTGGAGGAGCATGTCCATTTGCGTATCCATTAATATGATGTGATGGTGTAGTTTCCGGCATTTTAGTGAGACCTTTTCCTTTTCTAGCCAGTAATATGAGTCGATTTGTATAAGTTAATATTAATTGTTGATGACTGACACAATTTTTTATGGACACTGATAAAATCTGATGATTTTTATAATTTGATTCAGCTAAACACGTTGTGAAAATATTTAAGCACTTAATTGTACGTTTATTTGCTGAAAACTTCGAATTCGCCGTCAAACGAGACACTACTTGACCCACCGACGACACTCGCACCAATGAATTCACTATGCCAACGTTTTAGATCGAAAAGAGACTCCCCGCCACTTAACATCAAGTATTTATAACCTCGGCTACTTACCGACAAACTTCATTCGACTATCATCGACTTTCCTCGGCTATCACGTGATTTTTTACATCTTGTCATAATAAAGCGGGAAAATTAGAATTTTTTTCATTTTCTATTTTTATTTTTAGTAATTTTAAGAGTTTCTAGCATGACTAAGTAAACGACAATTAGAATATTTCATAATTTTACGAAATCAATAGCAAAAAATTTCAGTTGAACAACAAAGTGACTCATTATGATGAGAAGTAAAAAAAGATGATGAAACTTATTATCAACATGCGTAAATCAATTGGTTATCAAATAATTAAAACTTACTAAATATTTAGACAACCAACTTGAATTAATAAAAAACTTAAATAACTTATTATCTTGATACTTTTCAACAATCCATGACTTTATAGGTTAAAATAATCATACTGAAATATTATCTTTTTTATATTATTATTACATTATGATTACTAATAAACGATAGCATTGAACAACATAGTTTATCATTAGCAAAAACGAAGAAAGTCACCAATATAAAAAAAGGACAATTATTTACCATTCATTCTTAGAATATAAACAGTAACAGCGTAAGTAATTGCTGGAACTATGATTTGTCTATTTTCAATATGATAATGACTGAGCAAAAACTTTATTTATTTAGCTGTCAACTAATAATTCGATAATATAAAAATAAGTACTATTGTTTTTAAAAAAATATACATAACTAGTAATATATTCCTTGTTGTCACAGTAACAAGTGTTTTTTTTTGTTAGACTTGATTATAGATATCAGACACGTGGACTTTTACGAGTCGACTTGCAGTTGGCGCTGTAATATTATTCACACTAAAATTAATATTTGCTTCAATTGTATTACGATTGGTATGGCGCCTTTTTATGAACTTATGGTTATTTATTATCACGTATGAAGCTATAAAAACACTGATAAGCGTAGTTCATGATCCTTCAAAAGCTGATGAAATACCACTTATTCTCAAAATTACTGACGAAATGAATGGTATAGCACAAAAATGTCACAACCTTAACTACGTAACAAACGTAACTACTTACACTAAAAAATCAACATTTTTATGTATATTACGATTATTATTAAATTTATGTTAAATAATTTCAATAAATATTAAACTAAATAAGAGAAATTTTTTGTGTAACTAAACAACTTCTTTCTCCATTGAATATAATTAAATTAAACATTATTTTTGTAAATAATTAGTCTTTATTACTCATTATGGCAATATTTGAAAGATTATTTCTTCCTAGTTTCAATCTATAATCAACTCGTATGATTACTCATTATTAATACATAATAAAACAAGAGATAATATAAATAAAATTTAAATTCCATTTACACAATAAATCGAACTTTCTTTATTTAATATGCTGTGATAGCAATTTTAATACGATTATATTACTATCAATTTTTATGTCAATTATTAATGTATATTAATTAATGGTAAATTACAACCAGCTATTAATCAAGAAATAAAATTATATCTGCGGATATAGGAAATAAAATTTCGTAAAAAACTTGTAAAAGAAAAAAAAATTTCTACAATATATTCGTTCAACTTTACATTATTGCTGATAATTTCCAGAATTAAACGATTGTTGTCCGTTTATATTTTACCGATTTACTTGATTTATTATCGCTTCTTTTACTGCTCCTTTCCCCACAATTTAGAAGTCTAGAAAACCACGGGTCGAAAGGTCATTCTTTCATAAGTGTTATTAATATTACAATGTGAGTCATTTGAATTTATTGTCTTTTTCTGTTTCAAAATAAAAAATAAAAAATATAGGTATAAAAGTAATTTAAATCAGTTCAGTCGATCCAATGATGTAATAATTAATAAAACACAGTATAACATTATATTAATTATTAACTCTTCTTGCTCTGATATCAGCGTTATTAAGAATAACAATAACGATCGATAAACGTCTTTCGTAACCTTTAACACGTTTCATATGATGCTGTCACAAACAATATTGATATGTATCGATGTATCAAAATTTTATTTATATTCGTTGATTTCATACACAACATTGACCTCCGGAAAAAAATCACGAGAGTTTGTTTTTTTTAACGGCTTTTTTTTATGTATAATCAGCTTTTTTTATGTGATAAAATACTTCTGAATTTTCCTTTTTATTTTCAAACTCATAAATTGCAAATACTCAGGTAGTAATCCTTTTGTATTCTATTATAGAAGATAAGTATTTTTAAGAAAAACATCTGTTTTTATCTATAAATTACAAATATTTTTTCCATGTAAATTAATAGAAACTTTCAACATTAAGATTATATCTTTAAATTAAGTTATCGGGAATTTTTAAAAAATCTTCATTTTCTTACAAATCAATTAAATCCGTATTTGACCTCAATAAATAAGTTTTAACATTATAGTTAAATTAAATACGTTACGTCTTATCTAAACTTAAAATTTTTATGTAAATGCTTAATATTACGTGAATTAATATATATGTATTAACTTACTCACATGATTGTTACTAATACTAATTATCTATATCGCAGTGATAATGGTTATATTGTTATATTACAACAAGATAACACGAGACTAACATGCACTTTGTTATTTCCCATTGAACAATAACATTGTTATGCTTCTGATATACAAGTATAACGAAAATACATCAGTTGCATTATGACTGTATTGTGCAAGTATAACAAAAAATATAATATAACAAATATAACGAAATCTTAAAGTTTTATGATATTGTTATTACAATAACCAAAAATAAATTTATTTAATACGTACATCCGTATGGTCATACATATTTAGGGTTTTTTTTTGTTAACCAAATCACAAGACTGGATGAAAATATCAACTTCATACTGTTAACTTCAGAATAAGTGATAAACAAATTAAAGTTATTCCCTATCTATCTATATATTATTATTTTCATCTTGCGATTCGTCAGAGGTGCCTTGCCAGGGATCCCAGGGCTCCGACCCACCTGGGGCCTGACCAGACGGGATTATCCTGCAGACACCCGACTCCCTCAGGTTTGAGGGTGAGCCGGGGCTGCAGCCATTCAGTCATTATTTACAGTCGTCTCAGGATCCGGAGAGACCTGAGGATGACCGTTTTCTGCATATAAGTCGCGAGAATCTCAGCCTGAATACGGCAGACTGGTATTGTTCACAGCTCTGTTAGAAAACGGTCCCTCATCCCTCCGACGGCCCCAATCACCAGGACTATCACTAGCGCTGTATTATTATTTCATTTTGCGAAACGTCAAAAGTGTCTGGCCAGGGGTTATTATTATTATTATTATCTTTACTATTATTATTAATGCTAAATGAGTCATCAATATAATATTATCGTAAAAAAATATATGTATCTTTTAGCAATTGAGTATTGTTTATAAATATTGCAATTTGTTGAAAACAATTAAGGGTAGTATCTTAGATTTTAATATTTTTCGGCGATATCAAGAGAATTCTAATGGGAAATTCATTGTATGCTTTCTAAAAAGAGATATAATTTCAAACGAGTATTTACTATTTGTACCATTGCTTAGCAACACAATGTATAGTAGAACCAAGAAAAGAGTGGTCTCGATTTGGTGTCTAATATCACGTCCCCATAAGATTTTATTAGGAGGCGGGAGATTAGACACCAAATCGAGACCACTCTTTTCTTGGTTCTACAATAGTCTGGTATGGATGCAATTCAAAACAAAGGGAATAAAAAATCTAACCTCCCGTTTTGAACCGAGGTTTTTTTAAGGTAAAATTATATGAGGATTCCGAAAAAAAACCATTCGTGGGCAAAATAATGTACTTGTCGTTGTGTTTCTTTGTTATAAATAACTTTAGCCTACTTCAGCCCGTACATTTTAATCAATAACTTTTTAAATATTCCAAAATCGATAATATTTTATAGGCTATTTGTTATTCTTTACAGTACAACGGAGATTTCTGTGACCTCACTTTTCTTATTTTCAACCTATTTTTTGAGTTACTACGCCAATTTGTCGTCAATTGAAGCCTTTTAATTATAATTATATTCAGAATTTATCAATACTATTCTAAGAAATCGTTTTAAGGCTGGGCTGAAGTCACGGAGGCGACTGATTCCCCTTATCTAAATACATTGGATCGTAGGTTTCTAATTTCTCCGCAAATTTATATTTTTACTTGAAAGTTTTGGTCCCAAATTAAAGCTTGTTTTATGATGTAGTGCGCTAAATAGCAATTTCGATTATCCAAGTGATTTTTTTAATTAAAAAATGAAAAAGAAAATTGAATAATTATGAATTGATTTTGCCGCGCTTCAATTCCAAAATGGCTGCTACAAGGTTATAAAAATAAATCGTGAATTATTTATTTTCTATCTAATTTTAGCTCCTAAATGTGGTCCAATGTTGTACCTAAGTATTGGTTTACATTCATCTGTTGATACTTTTATTACTTTCATGATGATTGTACCAGCACATGAGTCTATGATCGACGCATAATCAGGACAAAGAAAGAGATGTTTGGTTTTCAATCAAAGATATCTTAAAGAAAAATGAGTCAGTCTTTCAAAAGGTTCCAACGAGTGCACTGTGTCGTTTCGTTATAATTAAATACATTTCTGGTGTGGTCAATCCAAATTTTGGAATTAAGCCTCTGATTTTCTTTATCATTGGTATTTGGTTAATTACAATAAGTCATATTGCTGGATTCAATCTTCAACTAAGTTGTGAGTCAAGTTCATTATTGTTTGGATCAAGCCCAGCCTTGATTCTTCTTATGTCACTAGATCAATTGCGTATAAGTCACATTCTTGAGGAAGTTAAGATGGTCTTCCACGAAATTATACACGATTTCTGCTGACTTATACCTTGATCTATATCTACAATTGATTAAAAATGAGACATATCAACTACGTAAACAGCCACATTTTCAAGTGCTGAGATTTTCTCAAATCTCAATGATTTCCAGTTAGGAACATCTGCTGGCTAAACTGGTTGATATGAGACATTCTAGAAGATCAAGTTTTGTTATTGAATTCCACTGACAGAACCACTTGATTCAATTCTAATAAAGTTTGATTAAAAATGTTGATTCAATG